AGTTGCTTGTAGTAATCTCTCATGATCCTTTGTATTTCTGCAGTGTCAGTTGTTACTTCTCCTTCTTCATTTCTAATCCTGTTCATTTGAGTGTTCTCCCTTTTTTTCTTGATGAGTCTGGCTAATGGTTTATCAGTTTTGTTTATCTTCTCAACGAGCCAGCTTTTAGTTTTCTTGATCTTTGCTGTTGTTTTCTTCATTTCTTTTTCATTTATTTCTGATCTTTATGATTTCTTTCCTTCTGCTAACTTTGGGGTTTTTTGTTCTTCTTTCTCTAATATCTTTAGGTGTAAGGTTAGGTTGTTTATTTGAGGTTTTTCTTGTTGCTTGAGGTAGGATTGTATTGCTATAAACTTCCCTCTTAAAACTGCTTTTGCTGCATCCCATAGGCTTTTGGTCATCATGTTTTCATTTCATTTGTGTCTAGGTATTTTTTGATTTCCTCTTTGATTTCTTCAGTAATCTCTTGGTTTTTTAGGAGCATAGTTTTTATCCTCCATGTGTTTGTATTTTTTAGTTTTTTTTTTCCCGTAATTGATATTTAGTCTCATAGCTTTGTGGTCAGAAAAGATACTTGATACGATTTCAGTTTTCTCAAATTTACCAAGGCTTGATTTGTCACCCAGGTTATGGTCTATCCTGGAGAATGTTCCATGAGCACTTGAGAAGAAAATGTATTCTGTTGTTTTGGATGGAATGTTCTATAAATATCAGTTAAGTCCATCTTGTGTAATGTGTCATTTAAAGCTTGTGTTTCCTTATTTATTTTCATTTTGGATGATCTGTCCATTGGTGAAAGTGGGGTGTTAAAGTCCCCTACTATTCTTGTGTTACTGTCTATTTCCCCTTTTATGGCTGTTAGCATTTGCCTTATGTATTGAGATGCTCCTATGTTGGGGGCATAAATGTTTACAATTGTTATACCTTTTTCTCGGATTGATTCCTTGATCATTGTGTAGTGTCCTTCTTTGTCTCTTGTAATAGTCTTTATTTTAAAGTCTATTTTGTCTGATAAGAGAACTGCTACTCCAGCTTTTTTAAAAAATGTATGTATTTATTTATTTATTTTTGGCTGTGTTGGGTCTTTGTTTCTGTGCGAGGGCTTTCTCCAGCTGAGGCGAGAGGGGGCCACTCTTCATCGCAGTGCGCGGGCCTCTCGCTGTCGCGGCCTCTCCTGTTGTGGAGCACAGGCTTCAGACGCGCAGGCTCAGTAGTTGTGTCTCACGGGCCTAGTTGCTCCGCGGCATGTGGGATCTTCCCAGACCGGGGCTCGAACCCAAGTCCCCTGCATTGGCAGGCAGATTCCCAACCACTGAGCCACCAGGGAAGCCCCTCCAGCTTTCTTTTGATTTCCATTTTCATGGAATATCTTTTTCCATCCCCTCACTTTCAGTCTGTATGTGTCCCTAGGTCTGAAGTGGGTCTCTGGTAGACAGCATATATACAGGTCTTGTTTTTGTATCCATTCAGCCAGTCTGTGTCTTTTGGTTGGAGCAGTTAATCCATTTACATTTAAGGTACTTATCGATATATATGTTCCTATTACCATTTTCTTAATTGTTTTGGGTTTCTTTTTGTAGGTCTTTCCCTTCTCTTGTGTTTCCTGCCTAGAGAAGTTCCTTTTGCATTTGTTTTGAAGCTGGTTTGGTGGTGCTGAATTCTCTTAACTTTTACCTGTCAGTAAAGGTTTTAATTTCTCCATCAAATCTGAATGAGATCCTTGCTGGGTAGAGTAATCTTGGTTGTAGGTTTTTCCCTTCCATCACTTTAAATATGTCCTGCCACTCCCTTCTGACTTGCAGAGTTTCTGCTGAAAGATCAGCTGTTAACCTTTTGGGGATACCGTTGTATGTTACTTGTTGCTTTTCCTTTGCTGCTTTTAATATTTTTTCTATGTATTTAATTTTTGATAGTTTGATTAATATGTGTCTTGGCGTGTTTCTCCTTGGATTTATGTTGTATGGGAGTCTCTGCGCTTCCTGGATCTGATTGACTATTTCCTTTTGCATGTAAGGGAAGTTTTCAAGTATAATCTCTTCAAATATTTTCTCAGTCCCTTTTTTTTTCTCTTCTTCCTCTGGGATCCCTATAATTCGAATGTTGGTAAGTTTAATGTTGTCTCAGAGCTCTCTGAGACTGTCCTCAATTCTTTTCATTTTTTTCCTTTATTCTGCTCTGTGGTGGTTATTTCCATCATTTTACCTTCCAGGTCACTTATCTGTTCTTCTGCCTCAGTTATTCTGCTACTGCTTCCTTCTAGAGAATTTTTAATTTATTGTGTTATTTATCTTTTTTTTTTGCTCTTTATTTCTTCTAGGTCCTTGTTAAATGTTTCTTCTGTTTTCTCCCATCTATTTCCAAGATTTTGTATCATCTTTACTATCATTACTCTGAATTCTATTTCAGGTAGACTGCGTATTTCCTCTTCATTTGTTTGGTCTGGTGTTTTTTTACCTTGCTCCTTCATCTGCTGCATATTTCTCTGTTTTCTTATTTTGTTTACTTACTGTGTTTTGGGTCTCCTTTTCGCAGGCTGCTGGCTCGTAGTTCCCTTGTTTTTGGTGCCTGTCCCCAGTGGATGAGGTTGGTTGAGTTGCTTGTGTAGGCTTCCTGGTGGAGGGGACTGGTGCCTGTGTTCTGGTGGTTGGGGCTGGATCTTTTCTTTCTGGTGGGCAGGGCCGCATCTAGTGGTGTGTTTTGGGGTGTCTGTGACCTTATTATGATTTTAGGCAGCCTCTCTGCTAATGGGTGGGGTTGTGTTCCTGTCTTGCTAGTTGTTTGGCGTGGGGCGTCCAGCACTGGAGCTTGCTTGCTGTTGGGTGGAGCTGTGTCTTAGTGTTGAGACTGAGATCTCTGGGAGAGCTGTAATCAATTTATATTACGTGGGGCTGGGAGGTCTGTGGTGGTCCAGTGTCCTGAACTCGGCTCTCCCACCTCGGAGGCTCAGGCCTGACACCGGGCTGGAGCACCATGACTCTGTCAGCCACACGGCTCAGAAGAAAAGGGAGAAAAAAAGAAAGAAAAAAAAAAATTAACATAAAAAGAAAAATAATAAAAAAAGAAGATAGTAACCAAACCAATAAACAAATCCACCAATGATAACAAGTGCTAAAAACTAAACTTAAGATAAACATGAAAATCAGTAACAAATCAGTCGCAGACAGCAAACGCCAAGTCTCCAGTTGCTCTCAGAATCCGCTGCCTCAATTTTGGGACGATTCGTCTATTCAGGTGTTCCACAGATGCAGGGTCCATCAAGTTGATTGTGGAGATTTAATCCGCTGCTCCTGAGGCTGCATGGAGAAACTTCCTTTTCTCTTCTTTGTCCGCACAGCTCCTGGGGTTCTGCTTTGGCCCCGCCTCTGCGTGTAGGTCTCTGTCAGTCACCTGTTCCTGCCCAGACAGGAGGGGGTTTAAGCAGCAGCTGCTTAGGGGGCTCTGGCTCACTCAAGCCGTGGGGAGGGAGGGGACAGTAGTCAGAATTGGAATGTGGGGCAAGCCTGTGGTGGCAGAAGCCAGCGTGACATTGCAACAGCCTGAGGTGTGCTGTGTGTTCTCCCGGGGAAGTTGTCCCTGGATCACGGGACCCTGGCAGTGGCGGTCTGCATAGCCTCCATGGGTGGGTTGTGTGTGTGTGGATAGTGACCTGTGCTTGCATACAGCATTCTTCATGGCTGCGTTAGCGTTTCATGCCCGTCTCTGGGGTCCGAGCTGATAGCCATGGCTCACGCCTGTCTCTGGAGCTTGTTTAGGCGGTGCTCTGCCTCCTGTGGGCAAATGGGGATGAATCCCCTCTCCTTGCACACCCCGAAACAAGGGTCTCTTGCCTCTTCGGCAGGTCCAGACTTCTTCCCAGACTTCTTCCCAGACTCCCTCCTGGCTAGCTGTGGCACCCTCAGGCTGTCTTCATACAGCCAACCCCAGTCCTCTCCCTGGGATCTGACCTCCGAAGCCCAAGCCTCAGCTCCCAGCCCCCACCCGCCCGACGGGTGAGCCAGTAAGCCTCTCAGGCTGGTGAGTGCTGGTCGGCCCTGATCCTCTGTCAGGGAATCTCTCTGCTTTGCCCGCTGCACCCCTGTTGCTGTGCTTTCCTCCGTGGCTCCGAAGTTCCCCCCACACCCCGCCGTCTCCACCAGTGAAGGGGCTTCCTAGTGTGTGGAAACTTTTCCTCCTCCTCAGCTCCCTCCCAGAGGTGCAGGTCCTGTCCCTATTCTTTTGTCTCTGTTTTTTCTTTTTTTCTTTTGCCCTACCCAGGTACATGGGGAGTTTCTTGCCTTTTGGGAGGTCTGAGGTCTTCTGCCAGCATTCAGTAGGTGTTCTGTAGGAGCTGTTCCATATGTAGATTTTTTTTTTCCTTTTTATTAATTTATTTTATGTATTTATTTTTGGCTGCACTGGGTCTTCATTGTACGCATGGGCTTTCTCTAGTTGTGGTGAGCGGGGGCCACTCCTCGTTGCCTTGTGCAGCCTTCTTATTGTGGTGGCTTCTCTTATTGCAGAGAACGGTCTCTAGGTGCATGGGTTTCAGTAGTCGTGGCATGCAGGCTAGCTAGTAGTGGCACGTGAGCTCTAGAGCACAGGCTCAGTAGTTGTGGCGCACGGGCATAGTTGCTTCACGGCATGTGGGATCTTCTTCCTGGACCCAGGCTCGAACCCATGTCCCCTGCATTGGCAGGCGGATTCCCAACCACTGCACCATCAGGGAAGCCCTAGATGTATTTTTGATGTATTTGTGGGGAGGAAGGTGGTCTTCACGTCTTACTCCTCCGACATCTTGAAGGTCCTTCCCTTATTTAGATTTTTTAAGTTGTAAAACTCCAGTAGCACTTTTTAAACACATGTATATTCTGAAACATCGCTAGAGACTATCTTGGCCTCTCTTGCTTAACCTATTATTATGGTTGAAGTACAGGTTTAGTTCCTTACAGTATTTTATAGAATAAATTTTAGTCATTGTTGGCTTATAAACTTTATTGATGCAAAAATGAACTATTTTCTAGGAGCAAGATAATGCTTTACAAAATATGCACGAGAAAGTAGAAAAATTAGAAGCTGAACACATGGAGTGCTCTGACCTTTTACGTCGACAGACAAGTGAATTCGAATTTAGCACTCAGCGAGAGGAACGTCTTAGAAAAGAGTTTGAGGTATATTTTCTCATTCTTTTATAGCACATATATGATGGCTAGTTAGTAATTTAAGGACAAAGTTTTACTCTGTAATAAAATATAATTTTTTGACATTTATATATATTGAATATTGGCTTCCTTGAAAACTTTTGTATTTGAGTAAATTATATCTTGCTCCGAATTAAAAAAAAAGATTCATTTTTAATAATTAATTGTCCTGGAATATTTGGAAAGTTTGAAGGTAATTGTTTATATTACAAGTTTGAGGAAGCAACACAAGAAAAGATATTAAATTCTAATTTTGTAGTTTGAATGGTGTGTACTAGCTACATAGTATTGTGGAGTGCTTTTCAGGTTAGACTTTATTTATTTTTTTATAAATTTATTTTTATTTATATTACTTATTTTTGGCTATGTTGGGTCTTCATTGCTGCATGCGGGCTTTCTCTAGTTGTGGCGAGTGGGGGCTACTCTTCGTTGCATTGCACGGGCTTCTCATTGTGGTGGCTTCTCTTGTTGTGGAGTACAGGCTCTGGGCACGTGAGCTTCAGTAGTTGTGGCATGCGGGCTCAGTAGTTGTGGCTTGCGAGCTCTAGAGTGCAGGCTCAGTAGTTGTTGTGCATGGGCTTAGTTGCTCTGCAGCAAGTGGGATCTTCCTGGACCAGGGCTTGAACCTGTGTCCCCTGCATTGGCAGGAAGATTCTTAACCACTGTGCCATGAGGGAAGTCCCCAGGTTAGACTTTAGGTGGGAAAGGAGCATTAGTTTACAAATGAAAAAATATGATTTTTGTGAGTAAATGATACTGATAACCACTTTAATCTTGAGAGATAGCTAATTTATTTGTTAATTTTTAAAAAAAATTTTCTTTTGCTTTGTGGGAAATTAAGTATTTCAATAGATAAAGAAGTTTGTCTTAAACATAATTTATAATTCTTATAAAGTAAATAAACATTTATGAAGAGTATTTAATGATAAAATGCTGGAGGTACCCTCATTAAACTCACTTCTGTCAGTTAACAATGTGCTGAGAATTTTAGCCAAAGAAATATATAAAAGCAAGAACAGTGATAAAAAATTATAATTTTTGGAAAGAAGGGGGGTATGATTCTGATTATTTTCAGATGGTATGCTAATAACCCTAAATGGTCAAGAAAATCATCTTTGAAATTATTGACACTAGTAAGAACATTCAATAAGGAGGTCAAGAAGAAAATAATATATAGCAGTTATGTTTACACTCTAATATACCAGTAATAATCAGAGAATAAGGTACTAAAAAAGTTTTTGTCACCATAGTGACAAAAACAGGAATACAGTTAACAACAAATACATTAAAAATTATGAAATTTAACTGAGAGTCTTAAAAGAAAATGATGAGACATTTTGGGAACCCTTAACAGTGTAAAGTTATGAATCCTCCCTAGATTATATTATGGGTTAAAGCAGTTCCAATCAAAGATTGAGTGGAATTATCTTGGGAAGACAGATTCTAAAGTTCATCCACATGAGGATCTATAAAACATTTTGGTAAGAGTAATGAGTGGGCACTTACTATACCAGAAGTTAGTACAGATTATAAAACTTCAGTAATATATCAATTGTGTTTTTTTGGTTGTATGCAACAGAAACCAACTTTGGTTAACATAAATAGGGAATTCAGTGGAAGAATATGGGAATCATATCCACAGAATCACAAGGAATGTTGGGGAATCAGCTTAGAAATCATATGAGTCCCAGAGCATCTCCAGAGTTCTTGGTAGCAGAAACGATGGATGAAGCTGAGGTGAATTGGTACCGATAGTTTTTATTCTTTTTGTAACTTTGGTCAGGATTCTAATCTGGAAGAGAACATTTGATTGAAAGAGGTAATTTGCCCCAAGTAAATTCCTCTAATTATGCTAAAATTAAAGTCCCCCCAATAAATTCTTATATAGAAATTAGGGTGCTGGTAAAAAAAGAAGGGGAAAGATTGTTGAGTGGCCAAAAAGTACAATACCTCTAAGACCAGACTTTCAATGTCAGAATTGAAAGGTCAGTAGTAGACTTGTAGAGTATATCATTTTAAATCAGTAAGGATAGGAAAAATTATTCAGTGAATCATGTTGAAATGATTGGTTAACTATTTGGGACAAAATAAAATTAGATTCCTATCTTACATTATATTCTAAAATAAATTCCAGTTGGATTAAAAAGAGTGAAATATTAAAAACAATGATAAAATAAGAAGAAAATGTAGTTTAATTTTTTCTGCTCTCTGAGTCATTATGACTTACTACTAATCATAAAAACCAAGGAACAAAATATTTAGGAATGGATTTATAGCTTTGACTAGGAGAGATTAAAGTCATATGTAAGTAAAATCCCCACTTCGAATAAAAAGACAACCAAATGAGAAAAATATTTACAGCAAAGGGTAAATATATTTCTGTCTCTCTAAATCCCCTACTATTTGATAAGAGAAAGGAGAAGGTCTTTATGAAAAAATCTATTAAGTAAATCAAAGAAGATATGAAAGAATAATTTCAGATGCATAACAAACATAGGAAAAATGCTCCACCTCACCATAATGTAAGAAAGACAGTAACACTCAAAATAATAAGATTAAAGAAAATGATAGTACCCAGCACTGGTGAGGGTGGTGTTAATAATTCTTGTACCATGATGGTGGGTGTGTAAATTTTTAAAACCTTGAAGGAATTCTGTTTGGCTGCTTTATAGGGTCTGTTCTCAGAAAATTATCGTGTTCTTCTGGGACTCTCTCCTGTTCCATCTCCTCATTGCTTTCTAGGCATATGGCATAGCTGTCACCTGGGGACTTTTTCATTATCCTCTGTTGCATCTTCAGTTTCTTAGGTCTCTTGCCTTCTTCACTTCGTTGGAGTACATAGACTAGTAGCTTCTAAAGAAAGGGTGTATGGGAGCTAAGTTTTATTTGATCTTGCTTATCTGAACATGATTTTTTTAATCAATAAAGTATTAAAGTATATAGAATTTGGCTGAATATAGAATTTTAGGATGGAATTCTTTCTTTCAGAATTTAAAGGCCTTGCCTCCCTCGTTCCCAGTCTCTTCTGTTGCTGTTGAGAGGCCTGATGTTATTCTTGTTTGTGTTCCCTTGTGGTGACCCTTTTCTCACTCTTCCTCTCTGAAAGTTTTCCTGTTTCTCTATTTTTTTTTTTTTCCTGCGGTACGCGGGCCTCTCACTGTTGTGGCCTCTCCCGTTGCGGAGCACAGGCTCTGGACGCGCAGGCTCAGCAGCCATGGCTCACGGGCCTAGCCGCTCCGCGGTATGTGGGATCTTCCCGGACCGGGGCACGAACCCGTGTCCCCTGCATCGGCAGGCGGACTCTCAACCACTGCGCCACCAGGGAAGCCCTCTTTTTTTTTTAAGACTTTTTTTCTTCCAGTTAGTGAGATATAATCGACATACAGCGCTGTATAAGCTTAAGGTATAGAGCATAATTATTGATTTACATACATCATGCAGTGATTATGAAAATAAGTTTGGTGAACATCTATCATCTCATATAGATAAAAAATAAAAGAAACAGAAAAAAACAGTTTTTTCTTATGATGAGAACTCTTAGGAATAACTCTTAGCAACTTTCATATATAACATACAGCAGTATTAATTATGTATAACATGTTATACATTACATCCGTAGTACTTATTTATTTTATAACTGGAAGTTTGTACCTTTCACTGCCTTCATCCAGTTACCCCTCCCCTCACCCCTCTGCTCTGGTAACCATAAATCTGATCCCTTTTTCTATGAGGTTGATTGTTTTTGAAGTATAATTGACCTACAACACTATGTGAGTTCCTATTACACAACATAGTGATTTGATATTTCTATACATTTCAAAATGACCACCGTAAGTCTGGTTATGATTTGTCAACACACAAAAAGTATTACCTAGTTACTGGCTATATTCCCTACCCTATACATTTCATACCTGTGACTCATTTATTTTGCAGCTGAGAGTTTGTACCTCTTAATCTCCTTCACCTGTATCTTTCTTCCCCTCCCATGCCCTACCCTCTGACAATCACCTGTTTGTTCTCTGTAGCTGTAACTGTTTTTGTTTTGTCATGTTTGTTCATTTGTTTTGCATTTTTAGATTCCACATGTAAGTGAAATCATATAGTATTTGTCTTTCTCTGTCTGACTTATTTCACTTAGGTTAATACCCTCTAGGTCCATCCATGTTGTTGCAAATATCAAGATTTCATTCTTTTTATCAATGAGTAATATTGCATTATATATATATATAAAATGATATATATATGATATATATATATCATATATATATATCTCACATCTTTATCCATTCATCTGTTGGTGGGCACCTAGTTTGCTACCATAGCTTTGCTGTTGTGAATAATGCTGCAGTGAACATAGGGGTGCATATATCTTTTTTTTTTTTTTTTTGCGGTACGCGGTCCTCTCACTGCTGTGGCCCCTGCCGTTGCGGGGCACACTGCGCCACCAGGGAAGCCCCATATATCTTTTCTAAGTAGTGTTTTTGTTTTCTTTGGATAAATACCGAAAAGTGGGATTGCTGGATCATATGGTAGTTTTATTTTTTTATTTTTCTATTTTTAATTTTTTGAGGACTCTCCATACCATTTTCCATAGTGGTTGTACCAGTTTACATTCTCACCCATTGTGCATGAGGGTTCCCTTTTCTTTTTTTTTCACTTTTTTTAAATAGAAAACTTTAAATATTAAAAAAGGTAGACAGCATAGTACAGTAATGGTACCCATCACCAGCTTCAAAAATTTTTCATTTAGGGCTTCCCTGGTGGCGCAGTGGTTGAGAGTCCGCCTGCCGATGCAGGGGACACGGGTTCGTGCCCCGGTCCGGGAGGATCCCACATGCCGCGGAGCGGCTGGGCCCGTGAGCCATGGCCGCTGAGCCTGCGTGTCCGGAGCCTGTGCCCCGCAACGGGAGAGGCCATGACAGTGACAGGCCTGCGTACCGCAAAAAAAAAAAAAAATTCATTTGTGGGTT